TCTTAGCATTACAATCAAGGACAGCATGATAAGGAGAAAGCCAATTCATACCCAAGATAACATCAAAGTCTACCATCCCCAGAATGATTAAATCTACCCAAGTGTCATACCCCGCTAGAGAAACAAGACAAGATCGATACACTCGATCCACCACTAAGGTTCACCCACGGGTGTAGAAACACGAATAGGTACAGTCATGCTATCACATATCATATCAAATTCAGCAGCAAAATAAGTGGACACATAAGAGAATGTAGACCCTGGATCAAACAATATAGACGCAGATCGATGGCATACTGGGATGATACCTGTAATAACAGCATCAGAAGTCTCCGCTTCGGGTCTCCCCGGAAAAGCATAACAGTGGCCCCCTCGGCCACCTCCAGCCTGGGTGGTAACTCTACCCCCACTCTGCTGAGCTGCAGAACCACTACTAGAAGCTCTACCGCCTCTACCTGACTGAACTCTGCCTCGGCCTCTACCCGGTGGTACTGGTGGTCTAGCCTGAAATGAAGAATTAGGTTGGGACCCTCCACGACCCCTCTGGGAAGTACACTGTCGCATCAGGTGATTGGGATCTCCACAAGAAAAGCAAAATCTCTGTCCCGGGAACTGTTGTGCAGACCCTGAAACCCACTATAATTGCCTCGCCCCATAGGTCGCTGCTGTGAACCGTGACCCACGCTATAAGAACCCCGAGGTATCTGACCACCCTCGGATGTCGGCATAGATGCATGAACGGGTCCTCGCTGCTGAAAGGAACCACTCCCTCTGTGTGATCCCCTGCCTCCAGATGAGGCACCATGAAACTGACCTGCTGTACGGACTCTCTTAGGGTCCCCAAACTCTTCTCTCTCCATCAATTCCGCCTCTTTAGTGGCACTCACAATGGATTGGAAGGAAGCCCCCTCTCTAGATGCTCTAAAACACAGCCGATCTGATAGAGAAAGTCAACCCCCTCACGAATCTACGGATCCTCTCTGTCTCGTCTGGAATAATGGCCAAAGCATGCCTAGACAACTGGCAAAAACGGGCCCATACTCTGTAACTGATAAGCTGTCCTGTCTCAGATTCTCAAACCTCAAACGACTCTCCTCTCTCACGCTCCAAGGGATAAAACGGTCATGAAAGGCACTGGAAAACCTCTCCCAAGTCACTGGAGGAGATCCAACTGGCAAAGCCCCCGAATAAGTTCTCCACCACTCTCTCGCTGGCCCACGAAGCTGGAGTGTAGCATATCGAACCCCATGTGACTCAGCTAATCCAACAACCTCTAGTAACTCTCGGCATGTAGTCAGAAACTCATGAGCATCCTCACTCTTCCCACCCTGAAACTGAGGTGGGTCCATCTTTCGAAATTTCTCATACCTACGCTGCTCATCCTCTGTCAGAACAACCAATGGTTCACCTTGACCCCCAATTGCTGGTGCAAGATCATTCTCAACCATGGGATCCTTTGGTGGCTGCCCCACCGCATCATGCATAACTGGAGCTTCCTGCTGCTCTTGGGTCTGAGCCCCCTCTCTAGTCTGAGAGTCTTGTGGTGTAGCGGTCGCACCACCACCCTGAGTAAAGCTCTCAAGCACACTTAATACCCTCAATAATGTATCCTGAAGCAAAGGTGTGACTGCAGGCTCTGGAGGAACCTGGTCCTCTCTGTCATCAATCTGGGGCTCAGGAGAGGCCTCTCTAGTACGACCTCTAACTGGTGCTGCTCCACGGCCACGACCTCTGCCTAGTGTCGTTCCACGAGCACGACCTCTAGCTCGGGCTCTACCCCTACCCCTAGCTGGGGCCTCAACAACTGCCTCAGGAAGTGCCTCCCCTCTACCACCAGTAACAGTCGCTCTAGTCCTCGTCATCTGTCAAAAGAGTATACAATAGCTCAGTACTAAAGAAGGTAACCACGCACGATGAGACAGAATGAACAAAAATGAAGTTTCCTAATAGTCTTTATAGCCTCTCAGAGATAAGTACAGACGTCTCTGTACCGATCCTTGAGACTCTACGTAGACTCGGCTTGTATGCACGTGAGACCTATGAACCTGGGGCTCTGATACCATTTTGTCACGACCCAAAAATGGATGTGATGGCACTCGTCGTATCCCACCAAGACAAGTCAGCCTAAAACCCAATCATTTCGATAAAGTGCGGAAATAAAGCAAAGTTCAATAGCAATTACTATTACGAAAACAAGTCAACTTAATTCAATCCCCAAAACCTGGTTGTCACGTGCACAAGCCTCTAATGTAAATACTAGAATTGAAAGAAAATACGCAAGTCTCAAATGACGTTGTCTTTCAAGTAAAAACAAAATCATAAACAGGAGTAAGAAGGTTCGCTGAGATGACAAACACTACCTCTCAGATCTCCACAGAAAACCTCGGAAACGAAGAGAATTGAAGGTATCACGAAGATCCGGGCTCGTAACCTACAAAAGATTGTAGAAGCAAGGGGTGAGTACCAAACCACACGGTACTCAACAAGCAAACCTCTAAACACAAGCTAAGAGTACAGAATACGGGTACTCCTTACACCCCATCCTAACCTCCATAACTACAACCTGCATAAAACCAACCCAACCTAACAATTTACAATTTACAAAGCATACAACTCAACAATAGCACTCTAACAGGTCATATATTCTCAATAACACCTCAATATTCGTCAATAACCAATTTCACAGAAAGGCACTCACAAGATCAACAACACACAATATCAAGTTCATTAATAATAAAAATGTGCAATGCAATGAAATGCAATGTCAATTATAGTGATGCATGTCTGACCTAATGATACACACCCGCTGTCTCTCAGTCCGGGACCCATGGGGGACATATCTGTCCATGCATCCATCGCGGCGCGCGATACGTCCCTCGAAATATAATATCCGTCGCGGCGCGCGACACGTCCCTCGAAATATAGTATCCATCGCGGCGCGCGATACGTCCCTCGAAATGGTACATCCTCCTTAATTTCTTATTCTTTCTCAATGCACATAACACTTGTCACAACCATGTCTCAGAATAATGCAAATGACATGTTCACACAAATAATGAGGAGATGACCATTTTCATAACATTGCACAAATCACAAGTTCAACGATGATTCAACAAGTCTTTCAAACAATTCTCAACACATTACACAAACAATTGATCACATTACTCCCAAACATATACCACAAGGAAATACACGAATTCCATACGCTTAACAAGGGTTTAGAAATCCACTTGCCTCAATCGATCAAGAATTCACTCCAAGACTTGAGCCTTCCTTTTTCGTTGAACTTTCAACTCAAAGCAATCTATTCAAATATATAATCACAATAAGATTTCAAAACTAATCAACACCCATATTACTATCGATTTAGCCTAGACCCGAAAACTCACTCAAATCTATAATCAAGTTCTTAAGTTTCAAGCCTAGGATTATGTCTCAATTTTCCAATATCAACTCTAATAGGTTTCGTATGATACATCTAATAACTGATTTCATACTCAATATATCAAAGCTTGAATCATAATGTGATAACAATAAGAAAGATCTTAAATCGAAGTTCAATACATGATCGGTGACCTTTAACAACGAATACTTACTTTTCAAATGATAACACAGAACCAGTATTGTTCAAATCTCCCAAGAAATATGTAGAGCACTAACTAATTCCTTCAAAACATTATTTTCCAATGATTACCTCACCACTACTCATCATTAACCCTCCAAATATACATCACCAACTTGTCCCCACTTAATTTGAACGAAACTTGAACTTACCATTTTCTAAAAATTTAATATTTCTAACACTATAATATTGGTAAGGTTGTGAACAAGGTAAATCACAGTATATAAATTTTACCTGATTCTTTTGAAGCGTAGTACTCACTTTATTGGAAAACTCTAAACTTTGCAGAAGACATATGTATACATATATTTTCCCTTCCAATTATTTCCAACAACCCAATGTAATGATTATTTTATCCACATAGTATATCATTAATGTTTCATGATAAAACTTCATTAAAATTTGTGCACAATGCAACAGATATATTCCACTTACCATTCTTTTTCTTTTCCTTTTTTTTTAATCTCATCTATGTCTATAAAGAATCCATTGAATACAAATTACAATAAGTTATTCACTTCCAACAATCACATATACATAAACAAAGCTTGAAGTTTGATTGGAATTACCCGTATTCGTCAGTTTCTTGTTGAAGCCGCAAAAGTGAGTCTCCCTCTAGGGTTAGATTTTTATATTTTATTCTATAAAGAATTATTAATTATGTATTAAAAGTGAAAAACAATTCACTAACTTAATTTAATTATATGGAACAAATGGTATAGGGTCTTAAATATATGATCACTTTAGCCCATTAACTATCACTTAAGTTAATTATCCACAATTCCCCCTCAACTAATTAACTAAAGTCAACAAATAGTTCAAAATTCCTAAAAATGATTTTCTGGGTCATTACAACAGGTCAAGACGGATTTCTGGGTTATCCAAAAAAAATAAAAAAATTCTCTTTACCAAACACACCTAATCAATTTTCACATTTTCCCGCCATTAACAAACTAGGGCTTAGCAAATTCAGCTTCAGTATCCAAACCCCCAAATTTTACAAGCAAAGCAAAAAATTAACATCAATGGCGAGCCAATCTGATAATTCTGTAGCATTTTCAGCAGCCGAGGTTTGTTTACTTCTTAATCTTCTCTGAAATTTGCTTAAAAATGAATTTGTCATTTGATTTTATGCTGATTTATGGTTTTTAATTGTTGTTCATGCATCTAGATTCAACATATAAGCAGTTTGATGTATTTCTCCAACTTCAACTATTTATGTAAAATTTGGGGTAGAGGGAGTGGAAATGGGGGAGGGGAAAGTTTAGGTAGCTAACCAATTGAGCTATTAAGATTTTCCGTAGGTATGTGTGATATATATACGCACATAATATTCATGGACTTGTTTAAAATCCTAGATCCGTATTTATTTCAAGTGAAAATTAAGTTGGAAATTTTCATTTGATTTTGTGTGTGTTTGGTAGGAAGAAAAATGTTTTCCATGTTAAGTGTTCTAATGGAAAATAAGTGGATTTTTTCTTACTTATTTTTGGTGTTTGATAAGTAAGCAGGAAATATTAATCCATATGCATTTTATGTAATCTATATATTCAAATGGGTGGGACGGAGGGTAGGAGTGTGGGGTGGTGTGGATGGGAATATTGAGGGTGGAGGTTGGGTTGTGTTAGAGGGCGTGGAGGAGACAATTGGTGTGATGTGTCAGTTACGGAACTTGTTTTTCCTACTTCCATTAAAGAAGTCATTTTTTCTCATTTTTAAGGAATTTGTTTTCCTAGAGAATATTTTCCAAAATTTTTGACGAACCAAACGTGTGAATACACCCTTTGTGCTGTTTATGTTCTTAATGATCTTGGATCGGTGATTTTTAACTTCATTGTTTCTCAATTATGCAGTTGGAGTTTCTAGCGGAAGATGAAATGGTTGAAATTGTGCCAAACATGAGAATGGAACCTCTCAATCTTATATCTGTATTATTTTATCCCTACAGTGACTAAATTCATTCATATAATCTCGCTGGTATTTATGCTGATTTTTGTTGAAAATGTACCAATTGACAGGGAGATTTTGGACCTTTCCGTCCACAAATAGCGGCACAGGTGCCTCTGTGGCTAGCTGTGGCTTTGAAGAAAAGAGGGAAATGCACTATCAGACCACCTGAATGGATGTCCGTTGGTAAGCTTTTGATTGTTAGGAAAATTTGCTAATTTGTTCTTCCAAATCCAGTGCTTAGTTGATTTAAGTTTTGATTCAGATTTGTTTGTTGTGTTTTCTCTGTTATGGAGAAACAGTTAGTGATGCTATTCTACTAATTTGGAGTTAGTTGCTGGAGTTCCTTAGAGTTGTTGCTAGCTCAATTTGTATGTCTGCATAAGGATGTGTGAAATCTAGAGATCCCTTAAAATAAAGTGTTCAGTATTGAATGGAGACGGGCCAAAATAGAGCGGAATGATAAAGAGGATTTATGTAGCCATGCCCAACTAGTGGGGGATTGAGTCTAATACATACCTTCTTGTGGTTTGGATATTTAATTTATTTTTAGTTTGGTAAGGAGATTGTAGTAATGCTATTATACTGGTACAAAGATTGTCATGGTCTAAGTCTTTAACATCTTGTTTTTCTTAGAAAGCAAGTTGCTGTATTAACCTCAGTTAGAGGCATAAAATACTGACTTCTTGTTGGCGAAAGTGTTTGGTACTTTGGTTTTCCCCATCATGCTGTTATATCAGCCATTTCGAATAACAGATTAATGTCTGATACTATTATATCCCTTGGTTAAATCTTCCTCAATGGCACCTCTAACGGAAAATATAAAATCCCATTCCTTTAGTAACTTTGTTGGATTACTGGATAATTGTCAAGAACATGCCTTCCTTTACAAAATGAATAATATTTATCCAAGACAGCAGGTCAAGTTCAACCTGTCAGCAATACGCAAAGAGTCTTTATTTCATGTTTCAGAACCACATTCCAGCTTGTAACTGTTCCACAATCTCTCATAATTAGTGGACATTCCAGCTTTAAACTTATTGGTTGACAATAGAATGTGTTGTTTCACCAATTCCAAGAAAAAAAAATACTGCATCAATGAAATTTGACATAAGATATCCTATAAGTATTCTGGGAAATTTTCCGGTAAAGTAGCTGGCTCCTATAACCAAGAGTTTTGTGTCTTCTCTCATTTCTTGTTTGTCTAGACATAGCACACAAGTTACTTCAACCAAGATAAGCCCGCTTTATGTTGTATTGGACAACCAGATGGTTGGTTAATTATTTTTTGTTAATCTGATATTACTAATTTCACTCACTCATCAAGCTTTGTCCAGAAATGTTAAGGTTGCCTGTTGCAGATCATTTCTATTCCAATAGAAATTTTATATTCACTGCTGTCATATAATCATGTAGATTGTACTTGTTAGGTTTCTTACTAATCTCTGCTTTGTCGACTAGAAAAGTTAACCCAAGTTCTGGAGGCTGAAAGAGACTCTGAAAAGTTCCAATTGTTACCATTTCATTATGTTGAAATCTCAAGGCTTCTTTTTGATCAGTAAGTAGTTTTTTTTTTCAATTTTTTTTGTATCAAGATTTATCATGTTGGTCTACTGATGACAATATTCTATGATTTAGTGCCCGCGAGGATATTCCTGACATCTATATGGTGAGCTCAGTTATTTTCTCAGTTCTATTGGCTTTAAATATTTAGTAATTCAGCCAGAACTCTGATTCAAACATGCTCAATAGGTGAGGTCTCTTATTGAAGATATTAAGGATGTGCGGTTTCACAAAATTGGAACTGGCTTGGAGATAATTTCAAAGGAGGTCACATATGCGTTGAGGGTATGCTTATTCACTTATCAGAAAAATGCTTTTCTCATTCTGATGCATGTGTCGTTTTGATGATCAATATCTTAGTCATGTAAGGAATCTGTCGGGGTGTGTTAGTAAGAAAAGAAGGCATATACTGATTTAGTTACATCGGTGCTTATATCTTAAAATATGGTGCACAATTACCATCCATTCTATTGGAGTTACTCAATACTGCAAATTCAGCTGACAGTCCCGTGGATGATCGGGTGAATTAATTTACAAAATCAATTCCGTTTGATCTAATAGATGTAGCTTATCGTACAAGTGAATAACTAATTAAGCCTGATTTGTGCATTATAAAATTTCTCCCCTGCATATCTAGAGCTATCTAGAGCTATGTAGCAGTGGAGAAAAGAGATAAGATTAGGAATGAAGATATCGGGGACAAGGAGGGAGTGGCCTCTGTTGTTTACTGTGCTTCAGTTAACACATTATTTGGCTATTGTTACTGTTCCTTGTTTTGTGAATGCTGTATAATGCTTTCCTTATTATTTGCCATGTCCTCTTTACTTGTGTATTTTTTTTTTCCAAACTGCTTTGATGTGTTACTTGAGCCAAGGGTCTCTCGGAAACAACCTCTCGACCTCCACGATGTTGGGATAAGGTCTGTGTAGACTCTACCCTCCCCAAACCTCACCTATGGAATTACATCGGGTCTGTTGTTTGTGATAACTTTGTGCCAGATTGAGAATGGCCAAAGGAAATAGAAATCAGACTGATGATTTTAAAGTCGTTCCATTCTTAAGGTGTAGAAACAACTGTAGCATTTGCCATAGCTTCCTATAAGATAATGGAGTGAACCTTTTCGAGAGAGTGGAGAGGCACATACATACTGTAATTCTTCCTTTTCTTTTCTGAGGCGGGGAGTGGGTTTAGGGGATTTTTCTTTAGTGAATTTGTGTTTTGCTATTTTGAGGAAGAAATATGGTCTCTTGTAAGATCTGATATATTAACCTAAAACTTCTCAGCTTAAAAATCTCTCAGCAATGGAAGCAAATATAGTACGCCCATTTGTTACCAAAGCTTTGCAGACATTTCATAAGCTAAATACTACGGAAGCAATACCAGAATCAGGCAGCATTCCAAACAGACAGCGCCAAGCTGTGAATCAGCGCGACAAGGTAAGTTCTTAAAACTTTTTCTTCCTTTCTCTAATAAGCATGATATTTCTCTGTACCTTTTCTCATGATTGAGAATTGGATAACTAGTACCTCTTAACTATGTTATCTCCCTTATCAGACCATTCACACTTGTAATATGAAATTATTGAGTTTTATCATTTTGCTAGCAACAACATTTGTTGCATTATTTCGTTGTCATTACTGTCCTTTCCTCTGTGTGTTATGTACCGCACTTCATTTCACATTATTCTGTTGTTGTTACTGCTCTACCTTTTTTCAAACTGTTTGAAAATGTGTTAGTTTAAGCTGAGGGTCTATCAGAAACAATCTCCTTTATCTCTACGAGATAGGGGTAAGGTTTGCATACACTCTACCTTCCTTAGACTCCACTTGTGGGATTACGTTGAGTATGTTGTTGTTGCTAGTTACAACATTTCCTTTACTAGCTATTCAGTTTTTAACGTTATCTCCTTTTTTTTTTGACATCCAGCGCGTACTGAAAGGTCGATGAAACTATTCTCTCTTCACATTGCCTCATGCTGTGACCTTCAAAAGAGACATGAATTGCACATCCATACTAATAGCAAGGAAAGGACTATTATTATCATGCAAGTTCATTTTCTGTATGTATCATATATATTGCCACTTCTTTTTTATCAGCAATGGAATGGCTTATACTCTCATTCAGGAAATTTTGTGGTTATCTTTGTTACTAGAGATCTCGGGTTTGAGCTCTTGTAGCGCGAATCTGGATTTAGTCTGCCCTAATATGGATATCGGACATCGAGGGTCGAAAAAGAAAACACTCTACTCCATTGCCACATTTTTCATTAGTTTTGCGCAACTTATGCCAAACTAATTTTTTATATGCCTCACACTATAACTAAACAAGAAGTTTTCTCTCTTCCATACATTTATTTCAATATCGTAAATTAAGCAAAACCATATAATATACATGATCCTCAATTTATTCAAAATCCTATAAATAACCCTCCTTTTTCATTCTTCATTTCTCATTAACCACCAAAAAAAAATAAAAAAAATGGAGGTGTCTTATAAGAAAATAACATCTCCATTATTAACTTTCTTGTTTATTTCATCTATCTTTATTCAATGTCTTCCTTATGTTTCTTCTTTAGGTGTTAACTATGGCACCCTTGGCAACAACCTACCCCCACCGTCCCAAGTCGCTCAATTCCTCAAAGACAAAACCATAATCGATAAAATCAAAATCTTTGATGTGAATCCAGACATCCTAAAGGCCTTCGCCAACACAAACATCTCAGTTACTGTCACCGTCCCCAATGGTGAAATCCCTAAATTGCTAGACATTGGTTATGCAAAAAGCTATGTTGAAGCAAACATCAAACCATTTTATCCACAAACAAAAATTGATGTAATTGCTGTTGGAAATGAAATCCTTCATTGGGAAACACCAGAAGTACAAAACAAATTAGTTGGTGCAATGAGAACACTTTATCAAGCACTAACACAATCTGGTATCAACACTATTAAAGTGTCAACACCACATTCTTTAGGAATTTTACTAAGTTCAAATCCACCAAGTCTAGCTAAATTTAGACCAGGTTGGGATGTAACTATCCTAGCACCAATGTTACAATTTTTACGCGAAACGAAAGGTCCTTTCATGGTTAACCCTTACCCATACTTTGGTTACAACCCTGAACAAGTTGATTTCCTATTGTTCAAACAAAACAAAGGCGTTTTCGACAAGTTTAGTAGAAGGACATACTCAAACATGTTTGATGTGTTGTTGGATGCTGTTTTTATGTCAATGAAAAGACTTGGTTATGATGATGTTGATATTGTTGCTGCTGAAACAGGATGGCCATCATTTGGTGAAAGTTTTGAACCACAATGTACTGTGGATAATGCAGCATCATATAATGGTGGATTGGTTAGAAAAATTGTTAGTGGAATAGGGTCACCATTGATGCCACATAGAAAAATTGAGACATATTTGTTTGGTTTGTTTAATGAAAATACTAAACCAGGTTCTAATGCTGAGAGGAATTTTGGATTGTTTAGACCTGATTTTACTCCAGTTTATAATATTGGAATCATGAAAGGACAACAATTGTTGCCAATCCCACAACCATCAAAGGTAATTTCTTTTTTGATACGATAGCAAGGTCATTCTGTCACTTACAATATCTCGGTGAATTTGTTTGCTTGTTTTTCTACCTCATACCACATTAGAGGGATCACGTCATGTTTTAATGACTCGAACTCTAGACCTCTTGGTTGAAAGTGAGGATTCAACACCACTTGGTTGATCGTACAAATATTATTTTATTGAGATAATCACGGCTTGAACGATTCGACCATCTAATTTACAAAATATGTACAAAGTGGATTATGTATATTTTATACAAAATATACATGTAATATGCATAAGTATACACAATATAACATTGATTTAGTATATATTGTGTATATTCCTGCCTTGTTGGTGAACTAGTTGGCCGAACAATATATATTATCAATTTTTATTTTTATTTTGTTAGTGCATAAAACTTAAACTCGATTTGTTAACAAGATTTGTAATTTTGATGTATACAGCCTCTTCCACAACCAGCATTGCCACAACCACAACCAAGAGGCCCAATTCCTGTGGCAAAGCCAGGCCCAATAGTCCCAGCCCAACCAGCCCCAAGACTTCCAGCCCAGCCAGGCCCAAAGCCTGTAGGCCCAATGGGGAAGAAATTTTGCATGCCCAAACCACAGGCTACAGATGCACAATTGCAGGCCAGTTTAGATTGGGCCTGCACTAATCAAGGTGTGGATTGTGGCCCAGTTCAAGCTGGAGGCCCATGTTTTAACCCAAATACTGTTAGGTCTCATGCAGCTTATGTTATGAATTCTTACTACCAAATCAAGGGCAAAAATGACTTTAACTGTGATTTTTCGGGTTCCGCTGCCATCGTCTTCGCTGATCCAAGTAAGTATTCAACATTTTTCGATTAGTGTAAATAATTTTTTATACTATTAGATCACTTTAAGAACAACATATGTTAGTTAGAGTTTAACTTCATACATACAAACAATGTAGATCATCAGAACGATAAAATATTAAAGCACATGTTAATTTGCATAGTAACCTAAATATTAGGCAAACAACTGCAATAACAAGTTAAATCATATCGATAGTATAGAAGTTCTTGAAACTGTAAATTTATATAAGTTAATGATCACTGATTGATTGTATAAAGTGTTTAACTATCTGTCGTACCAAGTGACCTGTCTTATTTTCTAAATTACTAATTCACTTTTTATTGGCTATTTACCTACATTTATCATTGAGGTCATCTTAAATCATAAAGATTCTTTTTGCACTACCACTTTATAAGAGTTAAACTCAAAAAATAACTAACTACATGTAACGGTTTAAAATATATAAGATTAATAATTAATCTGAAAAAATAAGGTAAGTAACTTACTATAACATATTACGATACAATGAAAGCATAACGTTAATTATATATATATATGTGTGTTAAAATGAACATTTATTTTCTTATAATATTTGGATTTTTTAAAAACTGAAAATCTAATGATGTCTTTTTTGTATTTGTTTGTGATTTTTGTAGGTTATGGTACATGCAAGTACCTTTCTTAAATTTTATGGACTAAAAAAAGGAAGATTTTGAAGCTACTCCAACATTTAAAGGATTAGTTTTGACATATTGAAATTTTGTTTTTAAAAAATATGTTCTTTGATGTTCACAAACTAATCTAATTGTGTTGATGTGTAGTATCTATTTATTGCAAATAAAACAATAAAAAAAATGTTGCCTACTTCATTTGCCATGATTTAGTATTATATATATATATATATATATATATATATATATATATATATATATATATATATATATTCTAGCTTCTTTCTTTTATAATTTGATAAATTAGTTTATTACATTCTACTAAAATTAAATAATACTGTAATTACTATTTGAGGAATTAAATATTTTTGTTCTTTAAGGGCGATTTATTTAATACTGAAATAAGGAAGTACGATAAATATTAAGTTATCTAGCTCATAAAAGGCATGAAAATGCTATTGACAGATTAAATAATCTATATTATACTTAAGATTCAAATTCGAAATTGAATAACATGAAGCCTGTAATAAAGATTGTTTATGTATTATTGACTTATTATAAGTGAATTCCCTAACAATTAAAAAATTATTGAAATGAGAAAAAATAAACAAGTTTAACTTCTTTTCTGATTCCTCCTACCTTGGATAATTGGAACTTAAAACTTACTAACTGAGCATTTCTCAATTTATTTATTTAAAAAAAAATTTAAAAAATTGGCTCCCATAAATCTCCATGTGTTTTTTGGTTTTCCACGAGACCTCGACTAATTCAAATTAGTGCATTGCATAGCCTATTTATGAAGATGACGCTCCAAACAAGATATCTTTTATTCTATATTCAACACTCGAATTCAAATATTTTGATTCAGGGTGAAAAGATTCCAACCATCAACTATGTACGTGTTTTATAAGCTTTATAAAAAAGTAAAAATTTAAGTTTCTTAATAGTCTAAAGAAATAAATACCATTGGTATTATATGTTAATTAGAAATTACAAAGCTTCAGAAAGGTAAAGTCAATTCTTTTTGAAAATACAAAAATTAGGGAAAAGTAGGGTGGATGAAGTTAAAAAATATTGAATAAATAAAGTAGGGTGGATGAAGTTAAAAAATATTGAATAAATAAATAATAATATATTCGGTTTTATAAGTATAAAATTTTAAGAAAAAGGTGTTTAAGAACATGCAATACACAAACCTCTACATTTTTTACTTTTTATTTTCAGAAACATATTATTTTCACTCCAAATAGCTATAAGAGGTAAATGAATCAACCTATGAGAATATTCACATGTTTTTCGTATATTAATTAAATCCCAATATCATTTTAGCTAGTTATTAATTAAAATATTTATTTACAAAAATTTAACTGAAATTAATTTATAAGTGACATGATTATGAGAGTTATTTTATCTAACCCTACAATTTTTTTCCTAAGCAAGAATTCCATCTATTCCATTCGTTAATCTAAATTCGTATTTTACGCAAAACCATGCATATATACATATATACCATTCATTATTTATTCACTTCTATAAATTATCCTTGTTTTTTTAAAATTTTTCGATTATTTCTTTCCTAGTAACCATCGAGAAAAAAAACCCAAATGGAGATGTTTACAAAAACATCTCCATTCTTTTCTTTCTTGATCATTTCATTCATTTTTTTTCAATATTTTTCTATTGTTTCTTCCATAGGTGTTAACTATGGCACCCTTGGAAACAACCTACCTTCACCATCCCAGGTCGCTCAATTCATCAAAAACAAAACCATAATCGATAAAATCAAAATTTTTGATATGAATCTAGATATCATACGTGCATTTGCCAATACAAACATCTCAGTTACTGTCACAGTCCCAAACGGTGAAATTCCCAAAATGTTGGACATAGGTTATGCTAAAAGTTATGTGGAGGCAAATATTAAACCTTTTTTCCCACAAACCAAAATTG